ACGCTAGACGTCTGGACTCCTCCCTTAACGTCACCTCGCCACCCTTCGGATGATGAGCAGCCTTTTGTGCCAGACTATAACGAAACATCACTGGACAAGTCTCTCACTCCTGCCGATATGCCTGCTTGGCTTGCAGATCATCTCCCTTGTTCTTTGCCTGGACAAGGCGCCTCTCCCCAGGTGGAGTTTTCGAGTCTGGACAAGTTCTCCCACATGACCAGTTGGTAGCTGATGTGGCCAGGTCATTAGACACTGCTTTTACGGCACTGCCGATTCAAGTTCCGAGATTTCGGAAGGAACATTATCCTTTTCACTCCATGGATCCTGCCATCCGTCACTTACATCTGTTCCTGGAGTGGTGACTAGTCCCATCAAACGTCTTGAGTGGTTCCTCAATGACAAGCTTCGAGGCCCACCTTCTCAGTGAAACCGCTTCTGGTCTTTGGACTCCTTCTGAACGTGCGTGGCACATCAACAATCTGGAGTTGGAGGCGGTCATTTGGGTGATTCGTCATTGGCGTGAGATCCTCTGCAACAGCTGTCTCATGGTTGCATCGGACAACTCCACGGTGGTGTATTACTCCCTGTCAAGACCGATCGTCCATCCCCCACAGAGTGGATGCTCCACCCAGAAGCCTTCCGGTACTTGTGCGATCGCCTGGGGACTCCCTACGTGGATCTCTTCGCAACTGTGTGCAACCACCAATTGCCGTGTACGTGTCTCCTGTCCAGGACCCAGCTGCTTGGGAGGTAGCCGGCCTCGCTCTGTCCTGGGTCGGCCGAACTGCGTACGCTTTTCCGCCCCCAGTTCTTCTCCCCCAGGTCATTCAGAAGGCGGCCCAGACCTGTCCTCTGGATCTGCTTTTGGTCGCGCCTTACTGATCTCAATGTTGTTTTGCAGGATTTATGCTGGGCTCCACTTACGTCTGCCTCGTTTGAAGATCTCGCCAAGAAAGACTTGCTTTCTCCTGGCCCTTGCGACAGCTGCCAGGGTTAGCTTCATGCCTTTGATGTGACCCGTGTCTGGTTCGACCAGTGTCCTCACGGTTTGCTTCACCTTGGCCTTTGTTGGGACTTTATCGCCAAAAACCAACTGCCCGGCCAACTCGATTAGCAGTTTCACGTCCCATCTCTTTTGGAGATCGTCGGCTGATGATAACCTGGAGCTCGCCCTCTACCCAGTTCAGGCCCTCTGACGTTATCTTTAGGTGTCTCAGCAGCATCGCAAGCAGTGCCAGAGGCTGTTCATCCCACTTTTCAGACGTGGCTCTGCAGAGATCTCTCTCGTCTCCCTTTGGCTTCGTTCTGCTATCCTTAGGGCTTATCTTCGTGTTGACTTACCACCACCAACAGCCTCCAGTCCACATGAGATGCATGCCCTGTCTTCTTTGCTGGCCTTCCATGCTAAAGTCTCCGTCTGATCAATCATGGAGGGGTGCGTCTGGTCATCTACTACTGTCTTCGCCAGCCATTATCTTCGCAACATTTCGGTGGAGGACATCGAGGGTACACATAGCTTTGGTCCACTTGTCCTGGCCCAGCAGCTGACCAACCCCCGATGATTCCGATTCCGAGGAGCGTGGCTGTTTGCGGCCCCACTGGCCCCACAGGCCCCGCTGATGCCTATTACCAAGGTAGGACCATCCCTTGTGCTGTTCTTCTTGGGTTGCTCGGTACTGTTATGTCGGTACCTAGTAAAGTTTTGGTCCGGTTTTCTCCCCCTCTTTTTGAGCCGGACATGGAATACCTTGCTTTTACCCTCTGTCAAGCTTTGTTCTCTCTACCTTCAGACCACCATTCTGTTCCGAAAGGGCTTGACCTGCATCCTATCCCCTTGCCTGCCGTTCCAGGAGCCACGCTTTGCTGTCGCCTGCTGGGTTTCCTTCCGGACTGTTTTGGTTGTGCTTCTTCAGTGTGCCTGGCGCTTCTCACGGTAACCCTGCCTTCCATCAGTCAAATAAAGCACTGTGTAGCGTCAGGTAAGGTAAAACATGAGCATTTCTTATTAAATGCAATGTTTTTATACTAACCTGACGATACACCTATAGGCCCACCCAGACTCCGTTCTCCTCCTCCACCTTACCGTTGGCCATTGTGTACTCTACGTCTGATGTCATCCAGTGAATGGAGGATAACTTGTGGATGCCTCGGCATGGGCAGTAGTCTGTTTAAACTGTCTCTTCGTTCCAGTACTGTCTGTTTGTATAAGGTAGGGAATCTGAAGCACTGTGTAGCGTCAGGTAAGTATAAAAACATTGCATTTAATCAAAAATGCTCATACTGTGAATATGGTTAACTATAGGAGCAAGTATGCACATTACATTTCTAAGGACCACGAATATTGGTCTACGACAACGAAGGTAAATTGTGTCATGCTCGAACAAACGAAAAACCTACACTGATGATTTCAATGCATCACGTGTCAGAATTCATTTTCTGCAGGTGAAACAAATGCCAGGATCTGATTTCTGCGAAGCATGTGGCGTTTATACTAAATGTTCATGTTACATAAAACGAAACAATGTTTGATTTGTTTTTATAATTTTCTCTCCTCATCAAAGGTGTCACCCTGACCAGACCTTTGTAGCATACCTGTGTGATGGACTGACTCATGGTTGCAACAGTGCCCAATTTTATCTGGGAGTGCAAAAACAATCTGAGCGCCCGGAAAGAACCCGATATCGTAACAAACCTTGTCCGTCAAGAATTAGATCGGGGCTACATTATTGGACCCTTTTCAGCCCCACTCTACCATGTGTTTCGGGTCAGCCCCCTGGGCATCGCAGAAGGACAATACAGCCATTAAAAACCACTGATTCTGGACCTTTCAGCCCCACATGACAACGATGACATCATTAGCATTAATTGTATGATAGACAAGGAAATGTGCTCTTTAACCTACGTGACAATCGATGATGCCATACGGGAACTGAACCGAGTAGGCAAAGGCGCGAGTATGTGTACAGTGGATATAAAAGACGCCTTCAAGCAAATTCCTTTACACCCAGATTTTTGGTCACTGTTTGGATTTAGTGGGGACAATCAGTATTACAAGCGCCTTGTGTTTGGATGTCGATCTAGCCCTCGTATCTTTTATTGCATATCACAAGCTATTGTTTGGATCCTCACAAACAATTACAAGGTCCATTTCGTTCTACACTTGCTGGATGACTTTCTCACCACTGATGAACCCAACTACCAAGCTTCTATTACCTAGAACACCTTACCAGCAACAGATTTCGGGCATTTGCACTACAGGCGGCACTACAAGCAACTCTGTGTCCACAACACTCACAGTTGATAAGGGTTTGGCAAGACACCTAGACACCCTATGGGATGCTGCAGTGGGGGCCAGAACCGAGACAATCTGCTTCTGGCTTTCAGTCACATGTTGACTTTCTCCTGAGATATGGCCTGTACTCTACATGCTCAAGCCTTACACAGACAGCACAAGGTCTGCCACCAGTAAATTCTGCACTTCTACAACAATGTGGCCTAATGTTTTGGAGAGGCAAAACCACAGTATGTAACTGTCAAATTCTGTCTTGCGGGTATCCGGTTTACCTATCTGAAGGCAGGTGTGCATACAGTGTTCCATTTAGTGTCTACTGGTGGTCTATATCAGCTATGAACTCTACTTCATGGATACAAGAAGCTACAACAACAGGGTGTGCCTAAATGTTTAACCATAACCTACTATGTTCTGAAGAAGATTGTGTGTACACTACGAAAAGGGGTGCTCAGACCTCTCAATGATCTGGTAATGGAGGTCATGTGCACCACTGCCTTCTTTGGTTTTCTACAATGTGCAGAGTTCACATGTTCTCGTGACTTTGATGCTAGTACCATTTTAAGCCTATCTGATGTCACCATAGACCATAATACAGGAAAGTGTACTCTAGTGCTCAAAGCTTCAAAGACAGACATTTTTAGACAGGGTATGGTCATTCCCTTGTTTGCCAACCACACTACCATTTGCCCTTTTGCCAATCTGAACTGCTTGAAACAAGTAAAATTATTGCATGGTGCCAGGGACAGTGATCCTCTGTTTGTTGACTGTGTTGGGAAAGCCAAGTGTTCCTGCAATGGCTTAATATGACCATGAAACATGCACGCCTTATCGCAGCTAAATACTCTTATCACTCTTTTCGCATTGGGACAGCGACTTCCACTGCTACTGTTCGTATGGAAGATCACCTCATAAAGACACTGGGCAGTCAGACTGTTTTACACGCTATATTCGGACCCCAGAGGATGTTATTAAGAATGCTCAGTTGTCTTTAATTACTTGTCCATAAATACCTAGTTACGGGGACATCTCCAACCAGATACTTTGAATCGGTTGTTTTGGTCTATTCCTTTGTACGATGTTGATGTATCTTGTGATCCCTCTGTATATTGTTGCACACCATGTACTTTCCTTACCACACCTAGCACAACTTGGGGGCACTCGCTCTTGTAAGGTGGTACCCATCCAATCACTTGCTTTGGGCTATTTCCACTCATCTTAAAGTGTCCTTTCTCCCCCAAGTCCACACCAGAGCTCAGGTCGCAGCCCCGGTCCACGGACCACCGTCCGAGCCGCCCCAACGGCTCCAGGACCAGTACCTAGCTCTTGGTCATTCCTCGTCTGTGATAAGGATCAGTCAGCTCCCAAGTTCGTGCCAAAACCATTATGATGTATGTGTTTTTTATCATGTGTATTAAATATTTTGTACTTTATCTCATTGCTTGTTGTGTTTGCACAAGTTCTTCAATTATTTGAAGTATTACTGACGGCAAAGGTGGTCCAGTTGTCTAAGACGCCACAATTCACTGTACAGAGTTGCATTCTTTGGGCATGCCAGCAAACTCTCATTGTGGTCCTCACTGATTATGTTTCCAACTTTGTCAGCACCGTGGTAAAACATCTGACACCTGCATCCCCTGGGGCCTGAACCTCGAACATAAATGTTCCTCAACATAAACAATTTGAATTAATATTTGTTCTCTTCTATCAGGCCAATGATCTGCGTACTAAGTACATGTTGAAGGCTGAAAACAAGGTGGCAACTGCCCAAGAGGCACTTGGGACAGCACAGTGCAGTGTGAAGGACACCAGTGATGAGGTCAGTTGGTGGGTATGGGGAACACCAGTTAGAGTATGGAGAGAAATTCTATAAGTTCCAAAGTAAGGGATAGTAATAAATACCTACAATAAACTGTTTACATTCTCAGTGCTTAATGTGTTTGATCAAATATGAGCTCTACCACCACAGCTGCAATTGGTTTTCTCAACCACTTGCTAATGATGTGAATGATGATAATAATCTCTAAGGCGTGATCACTACTGTATCAACTTTTGTGTCACTTTTGTATAATTTTGGTCAAGGTCACAAGAGGTCAAAGTATGAAATATAATTCAAATTCCCCCCCCCCCCCCCCTCAAAAAATCAGATTAATTAATGATTAATCACTTACAAAAGAGCCTCTATAATTAACTTAATACCTGTCACATGTTATGGTTGTGTCAAATGTGAAGGTCACTTTGAAAGTCATTCACTCATGAAATAGTTTCATTCAGAAAGTATTGGCAGTGTGATCTGGTTTTCAACAAGTAATGTTCTTGCATGTGATTGGCTGACATATTAGGTCAAGGTCACTGATTGTGAAGTTGACTTTAGAAGTTAACAAATCTTCTTTGGTCAATGGTTTGTTTGAGCTTATTTAATCTGGCATATTTGTTTTCTTGTCCTGCAGTCATAAACTGTTACATTTTATCATTTGTATCTCACATCATCCAATTTCTGTCTCTTCTGAAACTACAACTGAATGTTTTGAAATGGTGTCTTTTTAAGGTTTGAGGATTACACCATGTATTCACTTATTATTTGAGACATAGCAGAGGCCTGGAGCTGGTGGTGTGTATTTCAGTAAGTGTTTCAGACACAGCTGAAGTCTGGAACTGGTGGTGTGTATTTCAGTAAGTGTTTCAGACACAGCAGAAGTCTGGAACTGGTGGTGTGTATTTCAGTAAGTGTTTGAAACACAGCAGAAGTTTGGAACTGGTGGTGTGTATTTCAGTAAGTGTTTGAGACATAGCTGAGGTCTGGAACTGGTGGTGTGTATTTCAGTAAGTGTTTGAGACACAGCAGAAGTCTGGAACTGGTGGTGTGTATTTCAGTAAGTGTTTGAGACACAGCTGAAGTCTGGAACTGGTGGTGTGTATTTCAGTAAGTGTTTGAGACATAGCAGAGGTCTGGAACTGGTGGTGTGTATTTCATTTAGTGTTTGAGACACAGCAGAAGTCTGGAACTGGTGGTGTGTATTTCAGTAAGTGTTTGAGACACAGCAGAAGTCTGGAACTGGTGGTGTGTATTTTAGTAAGTGTTTGAGACATAGCTGAGGTCTGGAACTGGTGGTGTGTATTTCAGTAAGTGTTTGAGACACAGCAGAAGTCTGGAACTGGTGGTGTGTATTTCAGTAAGTGTTTGAGACATAGCAGAAGTCTGGAACTGGTGGTGTGTATTTCAGTAAGTGTTTGAGACACAGCAGAAGTCTGGAACTGGTGGTGTGTGTTTCAGTAAGTGTTTGAGACATAGCTGAGGTCTGGAACTGGTGGTGTGTGTTTCAGTAAGTGTTTGAGACATAGCAGAAGTCTGGAACTGGTGGTGTGTATTTCAGTAAGTGTTTGAGACACAGCAGAAGTCTGGAACTGGTGGTGTGTGTTTCAGTAAGTGTTTGAGACATAGCTGAGGTCTGGAACTGGTGGTGTGTATTTCAGTAAGTGTTTGAGGTGAGGTGAAATGGGGTTTAATGTCGCGTCCAAGATTATTGCACTTGTACTAGTCCGGACTGATGCCGATTTATAGTGCTAGCTCACTGAGATACCATGCCGCAGTTTAACATGAATACCCCACTCAGACACAGTATACTGACTCCGATCTGACCAGTCCTTGGTTTAGCCCCTTGATGCCGAGCGCCAGACAGGGTAACAACAAGTACCATCTTTGAACGTCTTTTGGTATGACGCAGTCGGGGATCGAACCCCGGAAACTTAGACTGGAAGCAGGAATCCTTTAAATTGCTTGGTATCAATTTTTCTCTGGATTTGGAAGAAATGATTGAAATGAATTATGAAAGTAAGCTTAGACAATGTGAAACATTATGGCAATATGGTCAGGACGTAGTTTAAGCCCAATTGGTAAAAATACAGTTCTTAAATCGCTGATACTACCAAAACTCAATCATCTATTCTCAGCACTTTCGAATCCGCCAGATACCGTTATTGATAGGTTAAAAAAAAAATGTTTTAGTTTCATTTGGGGTAACAAACCAGACCAAATAAAAAGATCTCAAATTATATGTGATAAAGAAGATGGTGGCATAAAATGTCCTAAAATAAGAGATGATTTATTCTCAGAAACTAACTATGATAAGACGCGCCTTTGCCTCGAAGTCAAAATGGCGGAACCTTTTCTTTCTAAATACCCCACTTATCACTAAACACAACGTATATGAAATAATGAGTAAAGATCATAAGACACATATCCTTTCCTGTATAAATAAATAGATCTTGTACAGTGTTGGTGGATGTTCGTAGAGGGATTGAACAAAAATGTTTCACTGAACAAAGACATTATGTCTCAATCAGTTTGGTTTAACGATAACATCCGGGTGGGGCACAAAACTATTTTCATGAGAAAATTGTACGACAAGGGAATAAAATTTGTGAATGATTTCATCGAAGACCAAGGGCAATTTTATACACACAGAGATTTTTATAGGATATATTCTGCTGGTGTTTGTTTCAGTGAAGTTGAGAGGCATAGCAGAAGTCTGGAACTGCAGGTGTGTGTTTCAGGGAAGGTGAGAGGCATAGCAGAAGTCTGGAACTGCAGGTGTGTGTTTCAGTGAAGGTGAGAGGCATAGCAGAAGCCTGGAACTGCAGGTGTGTGTTTCAGTGAAGGTGAGAAGCATAGCAGAAGTCTGGAACTGCAGGTGTTTGTTTCAGTGAAGTTGAGAGGCATAGCAGGTCTGGAACTGCAGGTGTTTGTTTCAGTGAAGGTGAGAAGCATAGCAGAAGTCTGGAACTGCAGGTCTGTGTTTCAGTGAAGGTGAGAAGCATAGCAGAAGTCTGGAACTGCAGGTGTTTGTTTCAGTGAAGGTGAGAGGCATAACAGAAGTCAGGAACTGCAGGTGTGTGTTTTAGTGAAGGTGAGAGGCATAGCAGAAGTCTGGAACTGCAGGTGTGTGTTTCAGTTAGTGTTTGAGGCATATCAGAAGTCTGGAACTGCAGGTGTGTGTTTCAGGGAAGGTGAGGGGCATAGCAGAAGTCTGGAACTGCAGGTGTGTGTTTCAGTAAGTGTTTTAGGCATAACATGATATACTTGTTTCAGTATGGACATGAGGGAGAGTGGTGGGCTCAAATGCTGGAATTAATGGTACAGCGGGAACTAGGTGGAGACTTGGTACTGAAAGTTAGAGATGACATTGAAGGTCATGCAAACCCTGGTGTGGGAATATCAATGGCCTCAAGGTAAGTAACTGGCTGAAGCCCAACCTGCATATAATATCTGTAGAAAATGGTGCCTTCTGTCTACATCTGTCTACATTTTCAGAGCAGAATTAGACGTTTATCAACCATGTTTGGATAAGGTTGAAATGTTTGAAAATCAAATAACTGCAGGTATCTTTTGTGGAACAGGCCTCTAAACCCATTGTCAGAGAGCAGCCAAATGCTGCCTTTAGCTGTTTTGACTTTTATAAAAATGTGCTAAGCTTCCCTGAGCTTAAAGTTCATGTGTGTGTGTGTCATAACCCATTGTCCATCATTCATAAACTTTTTTTCCTGAAACCTAAAGGCCTAAAATTCTTGTAAATACCAAACTGACATTGTCAGTGGCTGCTGTGGTAGGTACACTACTGCCTAGAACTTCATTCCCCTTACACGCATGGGCAACGCGTACGCAACCCGTGTGCACCCCGTGGTCACTCGTGTGGAACCCATTCTGCCACGCGTGTGATACCCATGTGCACTGCGTTGAGGGGGAACAAACTTTTGACCAAAGGAGGACCCATGTTTAGCTGAACCTGGAGGTGATAACAAGGAGATAACCTTTTGATTTCCTGACGAAATATGTTAATACACATTTTATTATATGTACTTGCTGATGTCTCATTTTTAGATGTGATTTTGTTGGAAAATATGAGTACTGTTGTGGCTTCTACATGATGTTTTGCGATGGTATTAAGAGAATACATGATCCTGTTAAAGGTGCACTGATCTAAAGCAGTTCCATGGGACTGATTGTTGCCTTTGTTATTTTTTTTCCCCCGTGAGTACCCAGATGATACGCAACGCAACTGAGCGTGACAAGAGACTGGGCTACCGTCTGCAAGGACAGCAGAATAAACTTGGAGGCAATATTTGTTTTACCCATTTTTGAACACTGATTGGTTTACCGTGATCTATAAACAAACAGACAAAAAGAACGGCGAAGTTTCTTAGTTGATATAGTTATGATACCGATGAGTTTAGAGGAGAGTCGTTTCTTAAGAATACATACAGTATGTATTTGATGGTATATATAAAGAGTGCAACTTATTTAACAATGGTCAAAATGGCTAACGCACAAGTTCGAGTGACCATAGTTGATACTGTGCGAGGTGGTCAGCACTTGTTTTATGAGGGATTCAAGTTTTGTTGTAAGAAAACAGTCCGTGAGAAGAAGTATTTGAACTGCGTTGTTGCTGCCTGCAGAGCGTCGGTGATCACTGAAAACGTCATTCTTCAAGCGGCTTTGCAGGTAAGAAATTAATGCACATGATCATGAGGATAATAATCTTAAAGACATAGACTCAAAAGACTTTGCTTAACAAACTATTCAGTTATTTATTTTACTTATTATTATTACTTATTTTTAGATACCACAGGTATTTGTCACATGTATGTATTTGTTTATAGTTAATATTAGTTAAAATGCAATTATTTAATTGCAGGTGAACCATACCCACCAACCTATCCCATAAGAGATGGAAGTGGAATCTTTCAAGTCCAAGCTCATCCACCGTGCTAAGACGGAAACAACGCCGATTCCAACCATATGCGGAGATGAGATTTCCAGACTTCGCCGCCACCACGACGTAGTTCGAGACGACCTGCTTAAGGAAATTCCTTCCTTTGCATCCCTGAAGACCATTCTTTACCGACAAGGTCACAAGACCCTTCCCAAACTTCCTGCCACCCGACCTGAGATTCATCTTGAAGGACAGTGGACATTGACCGAAGCAGGAGAACACTTCCTTCATCGCATCGACAACGACATTCTCATCTTCACCACAAGCAAGAACATTGAGCACCTGTGTGCAGCAGATGAAGTGTTTGGTGAAGGCACCTTCTCCTCGGCTCCACGACTGTTTGAGCAGATCTACACACTGCATGCTGATTCCAAGGCCACATGTTCCCACTTGTGTACTGTCTGCTCCGGAACATGTCCGAAGATACGTACACCAGGACATTTGAACATTTACGTCTAATGGCTCAACAGCAGAATTGTTACTTCAATCCAAGAACTTTCCAGTTAGACTTTGAAATCGCTGCCCACAATGCCTTTCCCAACACTTTGATCAGGGGCTGTTATTTTCACTTCACCCAGTGCATTTGGCGTCGAGTACAGAAGGAAGGCCTGGCTACGGACTACAAGAACGATGATGAAGTGCGACGACTGGTGAGAAGAGCCGCAGCCTTGCCTCTGCTTCCCTTGGACAAGGTCAACGATGTCTGGCTCCAAGCCATCGCTGACAGTTCCGTGGGTCCCAAGGTCGCAGCCTTCATGGACTACGTCACGACAAGGACGCCAATTCGTACCTGAGATCTGGAACCATTTTGGTAACCAAGGGCATCGCACTAACAATAACGTCGAGGGGTGGAATCACAAACTCAACAAACTTGCCAGGAAGAGCCATCCGAACATTTTTGAAGTTGTTACGCTATTTTAAAGAGAACAATCCAACGTAGAAGTCGCCATTCAACGAATTGGAGCCCACTGGTCAGCACCACCCAGAAAGAGAAGATACCGGCTGATTGACAACCGTCTTCAGGCTCTGAAGTACACAGATCACGTTGGTGACCTGATCCACTTGGAGTGAATGACTTGAACACAAGGTGTATGCCAGTGCAACCGCAAATTTATTATAGAATGTATTTATGTATTTACCATTATATTTTAAAATATAAGTTATTGTTGTTTTTGTAGAAATTATAAGGTACATCTATGAAATATTAAAGTATTAGAGTTATTAAATTTGTTAATTGTAAAGTACTTTTGTGCAACTATACTATACTTCAGCATCTAATAAATTACTACTGTGATTACGGTATACGCATTTCTGTGTTTTTCTTGTAATTTGAGAGTCCCGGTATAGCAATATCCCGTGTTTACTGTAGCGTTACCAGTCTTACTGTAGCTTCACGAAAGCGAAGAGATTTTAGAGTTGATTATGGCGAGGTTTCGCTCTTCCGGCCCAGAACCTTCACATTAAAGGTGATTTTTACAATTGCCATAATGATCCTGCTGAGTATTGGTGCTTAGTGATGTCAAATGGAACATTTTATTTTTAGAGGAAATTTGTAGTGAATACATAATACCATCTATACAGGATATCTTCAGGATTTTTAGCCCTTTCTTTCTCTGTGTGTAATTCTGATGGAAAGAAGTCACTCAACAGTTCATGCATTCCATGGTAAACAAAGATCAGACTTGGTTAGAATCCGTGTTTATCCGCGGCAACTTCCCACTGGTGACATTGTAGTGAACTTGGGAAGTGGTGATGCTTTTTTATATTCATATAATTATAATCTGTCAAACTGTACATAAATGTGTGTGTGTTAAATCATAAAATTCAAAGGGACTGTTCCCTACACCCATCAATATCATAATGAATGAACATTAGTTTATTGTATGGATTATATAAAGCTCTTACTAAGTATATGTTTTACATGCATGAGAGATGGGATTAAGGGAGAAAGGAAATATTTTCCTGAACGTTTCCAATAATTAGTGGAGGAAATTGGAAATGGCTGAACCTGTAGATAGCGTCAAATCCGTGATGGATTTGACAGATCTCACAGAGTAACATTCAACAGGCTCATTAGCTTGTGATCATGTGAACATTTTTTCTTAACAGTTTAGAAAAATAGAAGATATTTGAAGTGAACTACATTGGAAAATGAGAGAAGAAATTGATAGTCAATGTTTTTATCATAAAAACTCTCTGTTCAGTAAACAACAGTTGTTATTTTAGTACTTTCAAGAGGAATCCCAAACCTTCTCTTACTCTGTAATGATATATAATGTCAAAGTGAAAGCAAAAAAACATTATCGTGCAACAAAGCATTTTCCATGGACTTGTTTATTTGCTATTTTGATATACATGTGTTCAGATTGATTGAAAAACATACAATATCAACTATAAATTTCTTCCATGTGTGAATGCGTGTAATACTTGCATATTGGCATCCCAGTTCTCATAATGCTTCATATGAAAGCAAAATTGTGTGTTTAATTAACATCATCTCTAATGTCAGTGACTGATTTCAGCCAGTGTCCCAACTCTCGTGTATCTACATTAATGTTTCGCCCTCGCGATCTTACATTATAACATTTCAGGTCATAGACATCCTCTTATACACAGCAGATGCGTTCTGGACATATTACCTTTCGGCTCCATAGTCTGTACTGTCTTAAATTTGACTTTATTAGTCTTCGGATGTTACGTCTAGTACACACAAACAGGACCGTTTAGCCTATATAAGGAATGTAGCAGGCAGTGGATATGCCAGTTGGCTAACTAACTTTTGGTAATATCCGTTTTCTTTTAGCAAATAAGAGGAAAGTTAGTAACAAAATTATACGATATACAACGCATATTTGCACAACTATCACAAAACCATTCGACACTGACACCGCATCAAACCCCGCGGTAGACTGGACACAGTTATGTGCTCACCGATTAGATATACCCTACCGACAGGGTGGGGATGGTGGTTCAAAGCGAAACAGACAACCCTGTCTGTTGTCTAATAAATGCTGGGCAGCGTCTTTGATCTTGCCTCTAACCATGCATGAATGCAGGATGGCATGGAAATAAACAAGATTCTTTCTTGTTGGATATCAAGGTACCAATTCATTGGTCACGGGTTTTTCTTATGTGTATGTGCCCAGTGTATCCACAATTAACTAGCTAGAATGTTTGATATCTACTAAAATGTATATGCATCAGTGTGGTTTATCAACACATGTATAATGCTTATTCATGCTTTGAGTGCCAGACTGAAATTGAACATCATAATAGCGTCAGCAGTGATAATAGAGGTCATAAGACATGGCATATGAAGATCATACATAAATAGGTTTAAGTTACATAGGCAGCAGGTTAGATTATTTACAGCAATACAGTTCAAATATTGTGTTCAATAAAAGAAAATGTTGATTTTTAAAACACTTATTTTTGTGCTATTAAACAAACTGTGGACTT